CTGCTGTCCCAGAAAGGACAACAAGAGGCAGAAGATAGGCTTCATGAAGTTATAGAGGTGCCTGCAAGACCCCAACCACCTCCTAACTCTCCCCAGGACCATATTCACATGGTGATGTGGTCATCTTCCTGCTGGCATAATGCTTACTGCCTGGAAATCAGAATATAACAGCCTTCAAAAAAGCTAAACAACCTCTAAGCTCAAGTGAGCAACAATACCTGAGGCAGTAGGAGGGACTAATCAGCCCAATATGGAGGGCAAGGGGCAGCAGGGCATCTGTGAGCAGGATCAGCCCCCCCAAAAAAAGCCTCCACTCTCTTTTGGGGCAGGTCAGCTGGAAACCACTGCTCTCAGATTTATAGCAATTCTTTCCCGGAATAAAGGATTTTTTTTTTTTTTTTAATTAAACTTAATTCAGCAGATGAATAGATGATGGATAAAGGATGAAGCTTCCTGTTCAGAGCCAGGAGAACTTCAGTAGGGCAAATGGTTGCCCTGTCCCATGCAAAACTCAGCATCTCAGTGGGTTGTAACAACTACCAGGAACCATGAGGAATGCTAAACACTGTGCCAGTCACAGCAGCACCAAAAATACAGTCTGTCACATACTTGATTTTTTTTCACAAAATTCTCTCTGTGCTGTAAGTGCCATAATTTGGAGAAAATTACACTGTTTTCAATGTTTACTTAAATGCAAAATATAGCTCAGTCTTACTCAAAGAACTGAGACAAATGCTTAACACATGATGCATGAGTTCTTCCACAAAACTGTAAATACAGATTATAATCAAGACACACTGTCATTATAGCACTGAAAGTTTTGATAACACTGAATGATTAAATAACTCAACAGTAGAGCCAGTCTGAGCTTTTGTTGAGGAAGCTCTTCCCTAAGCCTCTCTTGTTAGGCAGGCCAAAGAGATGTGCTTTTTGCTATTCAGACTGGGCTCACATTGCTGTTCATCACAGCCGTCAGCTGTGCATTTTCAGTGGTGACTACATTGAGAAATAGCATTTTGTAGTTGAGAATTTGCTCTATCAGTGTGACGGTGTTTTTTGTATCTATTGAACTTTCCATGGAAATAAGTAGGAGGCATTAGTTTGAGTGATCTATGCACATCACCCCAGTTCACTAGGCCAAAGAGTGGATGGGGAAGTCTGAGAGGCAAGGCATACTTTATCTCCTTACATATTCGTGTCCCCCTTAAAGCATGAGATCATTTTGTACTATGACAACAAGTTCAGTATGGCTGCCAGCCTCCTAATGATGCCACATACCCTAATAAAGACAAGAATTTAAAACACTGTCCACTTGATTACCCGGGTGATGAACACCCAGAAAACAACAAAACACTGCTGCATTCACCTTGCAGTTTCAGAGCAGCACCAAGGATTTTAACCAGAGGGATGTGCCACTTTGCTTGAGGTCAGCACTGTTCACCTCTCAGTAGTACAAGCAAGCTGAGGCTTTCTGGAAACCTGCAGAAGCTGTTTTGTGCTCAAGCCCCTGGGACTTCTACGCAGCATTTCATTCTCCTCCTGATTTTCTAAATGCCGAAAGCCAGAATTCAGCTGTCAGCCCCAATGCAGCACAATACTAATGCTCTGAGAAGTCACACTTTAATGCACCACTTTAGCGTTTATCTAAGTTTCAGACAGACTAATTGTCTAACTTCCAGCCTGAAGGGTCTGAAAGCACTGAAAAGCACAGCAACACAGGTAACTATGGGAGATGTGCTCTGCAGAGAGTTGGCTAGAGCACTTCTGTGGGAGAGAAAAGCAGAGAACGTACTGTGTGTTGTAAAGAACTGTAAGAAGGGAAAGTGCCTCATTGGGAAAAAGAAACTTTGGAACTGTAAGGAGCAGGGTAGCAGGAGGACAAGGCTTCAGAGGTCAGCATCTCAAGGAGAGAGATCATCTCCCCTGCCATGTCTCAGCAGCTTTCTTGCCTTCTGCAGAAGAGAATGCTTCCTTCTCCCAGAGGCAGGCAGCAGCTTGCTCCTCTGTTTCTGCCCAAACAGCTTATATTCCTGCTTCTGCAGGCTTCAGCAAGCAGCATCTCCTCTCCTGTAAGCTTCACCATCTTGCAGTCAAGAGATGGGGACTGGAAAAGAGGGAAAGAACCTTGCCTCCTACTTGCATCTTTGTAGATCAACAGGTATGTAAAAACTTGAAGGGCTGTGCAGCTTTTTCCTGAGCTACCACTTTTTCCAGACTTGTCCTCAGGGACAAGAGGAGGCAACTTAATCAACTTAATCTGTAAACAGAGTTCTCAAAAGCAATGTGGCACACTTCCACAGGCCCCACCACTGCTCACAGCAAACACACCATCTAAAGCTTAGTCTACAAAGATGATTTTAAAGTCTTTCTTTCGGAAGGGAAAAAAAAAAAAAAAAGAAGGGGAAAAAACAACTGAACACTCCATAGAAAAACCTTCTCCACTATTCTGACCTGACTATTTTCTTCATCTTCAGCAAGCTTGGAGATAACATCAGGCTGATGATGCAGCTGACATGCTAGAAGGAAGGGATGCCATCCAGAGGGACCTGGACAAGCTTGAGATGGGCCCATGCCAACATCAAGAAGTGAAATAAAGCCAAGTGCGAGGTCTTGCAGCTGGATCAGGGCAACCTCAAGCACAGAAACAGGTCAGGTAGAGAATGGCTTGAGAGCAGCCCTGAGGTGAAGAATTCTGGTGTGTCAGCTGATGAAAGACACAACAATGTGAGCCAGCAATGGGCGCTTGCAGCCCAGAAGGGGCATCAAGTGTGACCAGTTCTGCTCCTCTACTCCACTCTCATGAGATCACTCCTACAGTACTGCATCCAGTTCTAAGTCTCCCAAGACAAGAAGGACATCAAGCTATTCAATCGAGTCCAGAGGAGGACCATGAAGAGGACCAGAGGGCTGGAGCACCTCACCTACAAGGACAGACTGAAAGCTGGGGCTCTTTAGCCTGGAGAAGAGAAGGCTCCAGGGGAACCTTATAGCAACCATCCAGTACCTGAAGGGGGCCTACAGGAAAGCTGGGCAGGGACTTGTTAAAAGGGCAGGTAGCAACAGGACAAGAGAAAATGGCTTTAAACTGGAAGAGGGTAGATTAAAACTAGATATCAGGAATAAATTATTTACTGTGAAGGTGGTGAGACACTGGAACAGGTTGCCCAGAGAGCCTGTGAATGCCCCCTCCCTGTAAGCATTCAAGGCCAGGCCGGATGGGGCTTTGAGCCACCTGGTCTAGATGGTTGAGTCCCTGCCTACAGCAGGGGGTTGGAACTAGGTGATCTTAAAAGTCCCTTCCAACTCAAACCATTTTGTGATTCCACTGAATCCAAAAGTCATTTGGATGCTGAAACTAGATTTCTATACCTTAAAAAAAAAACCCACAGCATTGATCCCCTGAACACTGGAATGAGATATTTCTGGACAACTATGACAGCCTTATGCTGTATTTTACTTTAGAATCCTGGCAGTTTTTCTTATCTAGGACCACATTGGTTATGCCAAATCCTAAGCCCCTTCCCAGCTCTGGGACAGGATTTAGCCTACAATACATTCATCTGTGGTCCCTGTGAAGCTCCAGGAGCTGAGCTATTCACATTTCCTCTGAGGACAGTCTCATAAGAAAGAATTCTTCACCTCAGAATTGTGCTGTTTTCTCCTCCTACCCTAAGGTCTGTTTGAAGCACAAGATCATACATCCTCTTAAAAACAGAACAGCAATCAGGCTGAGGTTTTCTTCTTGGGCTAAACCACTAACAGGACGGAAAACAATTTTGAATGCTATGAAACATTGGCAGGAAGTATAACGTGGGCTTTATCCATGAAATGGACAGTTTAAGACATCTCCTTCATTTGTGGTCTTTTCCACAACAGCAGGGCTTTCCTTTTGCAATCATAGTTTTCTCCCATTACTTATTTCATTTGCCAGAAACAAACAGAACTTGCTCATGGCATGGAGGGAAAAGCAGCTAGGCTGCTGGAAGAGAAAGGCAAGAAGTATTTACTACCTGCAATACAAGCCTCCAGTTGAGTTAAACTTCTGCCACTGACTGATTAGCAATTGTATGATGAGCAGAGTCAGACTCATGAATGACATGTGGTATACTGACTATTCAGCCAGGCTTGAATCCTGAACATTTCCATTCAGAAAATACATTTACAGACATGGCAGGCTGACACCACAGCCCTACTACACTAGTCAGCACGTATTCGAGACAGTCAGAACTCCTCCCCCAAGGGTTTCCAGATCAATATTCCTACTCTGATCTCTCATTCCTTCCAGTGCAACAATGCACAAAGAAAATCTACTAGGGCTGCTCTGAAAGTAGTGCCTCCTATTTTATGATGTTGGCCTCGTGACATCAGAGGCAGATGGTGGTAGCATGGCAATAGAGGCTGAATATATCCCATTATATTTTGTTGCTGTGTGACAGATGGCAGCAGAGGAGCAGTTTGACAAAATGGTGTCTGACATGCATATGAAACAAAGGTATGGAAATGAATTTTCCTCCATGTGGAAAAAATTGCACCCACTGACATTCACTGACACTTACTGAACATCTATGGAGAACCAAAGTGAGGATGTGAGCACTGTGAGGCAGTGGGTGGCACATTTCAGTAGAGGCAACAATGGGTCACCTCCACTGGTGCAGATTGCTGACAAGCATGCACACTCTTGTTAATTGATGGTGAAAATGCGCATCTAATGGTAGCAACTGTGTTGAAAAAGAGCATTGTGCAGCTGAGAATTTGCTCTATCAAATAGCATTATTGTGCTCTTTGTATCTGTTGTCATTTCCACAGAAATACATAGGAGGCATTCATTTTGGAGCAACCTATTTGTGTCTGTTCCTTTGACCAATAAACCATGATACACCAATAAACCATGATACACTACCTATGCGCTCACTTAAAATCCTAGTACAAAGCATTTGCACAAGCTTTTATGCATAGGTGAATACATAGGTGAATACACATTAGACTGATAAGATCTAGTTGTAACAGTATTTTTTTTTTAATTGAAAAAGTTACAGGATGCTGAGGCAACTCACATAAGGTTTCCTGAGAAAGAGACAGCTGCTAGTTTCACAAGTCTTACCACGTGCCTCAGAATGCAAAGACCTACAGAAGAACCAAGTTAATAGCAAAACTAGTACTAGTGACTGCAGTCAGCCTCCAATCATGTGGAGCCATACCATGAAGGCAAAATCAGAGTTTAAATTCATGCAAATAAACTGTTTTAAGTGAAGCAACTAGGAATTCTCATTCCTAGAAGCAATTCCATTCATAGATCAGTCCCAAATTGCAGCAGCCTGCAGCTCATGAGAGGACAGCTATTTAAGACCCCATATCTTTTCACTCTGAACACAAAGGGCCCATTCCTCAAGGTCTGGAGTTAGGCCTCTTCACAGCAGAGTCAGAGCAGCAGATCAGAGTATAAAACAACTTTCCTCCAGACTGCCCAGATTTAAAGAAACTCTGAAGCCAGTAAGATTCCAACAAGATGACCGTAACATCAAGGTGACAAAATTCTTGGCTTCTCTCCCATCTACTTTGTTCCCAAAATACTGACTACTGTACAAGGGCTTAGCACCTTTAGAGTCTCACACAATGAGAATTATTGTTTTTTAGTTGTTATACCAATAACATCCCAACTAGAAGCAACTGCTGAATGGTGAGCAGCTTTTCATTAACTCACTGCTACAGTCTACCCTATTTGCCCCAGAAGTATATATAGCCTCCTTTAAAAAAAAAAAAAGCAATTCAAACTTAAGACATTCGTCTACTTCTCCTTTAAAGCTCATACAAAAAACCTAACACAATTTTCTGTCCTAAGTAATGAAATATATTATGTTTCCCTTTCTCAAATGCTTGTGCTAACTAACCTTAGCAAAATATATCCACGGCTTGAGTGCTTCCATCAAAAGCTTATTCAAATTCATACAAAACTGATAAAAACAGAATCTATAGAAGTCCATATGAACCCATTTGTTACTAGCATACACTGACCTTATTTCAGTTCGGTCTTCCTCATTCATGAATAAAGAAGTGGCAATATGAAAGGAGTCCAGGGTTTCTTTTTTATTGTAAATCATTTGCTCCTGCAGCATATGACAACTATTTTTGCAAAGGTAAATTGGGAAGTTAACATTAATTTTACTTCCATTAACTGTAGCACAATATACAAACATTCCCATAAGCTTCCCATACGCATCCTCATTTTATCGCCGTGCAGCTCTGCACTTCAATGCTTTTAAAGTTTTCTTCATGATTGGTGCAATTTCTTCAATAACAAGAAAACAAGAGAGACCAGTTAGGATTACAGCATAATACAAGTAATTTATGTGATAGTAGCATAATATTAAGCATATATTAGTAGCCAGCAAGTTAAAGCAATTATTTTGATCATCTCTCCACTTACTTTTAATAGGCTTCTTTCCATCTTGAGTCATTCCATTTGAGCTAGAGCTTCCACTGCTGCTAGCAGAGTTCAGATTTGATGAATTGTTGTTTCCATCTCTGCCTTCTGAAGACCTTTTTCTTTTAAAGCCAGGAAATTAAGAAAAAAAATTAAGATACTAGTGGCTTTGTCTCATCTGGAGAAAAATGCTGGCAGTGTTTCAACAAGTTTGCTTCATCATCAGTAGTGTGGCATATATACAGTCGTAGGATAACTCAGGTTAGAAGTAGTTTCAAGTGGTCATCCAGCCCATTTCCACCCTTGCATAGATTTTCTTTGTTAGATATGATGCCTCTTATTCACCCTTAAAATTAATTGATCAGACTACGACAGATAAAACACCATGATGAGTCATGATGGGTCTTATGGCCCAAGTTCAGTTCTTTCCTATTTGTCTTTCTGAACACAACTGAACTCCGCCAGAAAACGAGGGCAAAGTGACACAGTGGGTTTTCAGCTGTGTTTTGTTGTTGTTTTTAAGTTAGGAATGCCTAGAAAAAGGCACAATAGCTAACCCTAACTGTTAGGTTAGATATGCCAGTCAGCAGGACAAGGCCTGATGTAACCGCAGGAAGCATCAGCTCCATGCAGGACAGTTAAACCAACCCAGCATTTAGCTGCCAGCATGATGTCAACAATCCAGGCAGCCTCAGAGCTAGTCATTAATGCCTGCTGCCAGTAAAACTACCACATGGTAAAATGCAAACATCCTGCTGGGGATCTGCATGTGTGCCTCACGGCCCTTTTAGCTCCTGCAAGTGAAGACTTCAGATGTACACAGTAAAACCAATGTAAGGCTTTCAGAGAACGTGCTCAAAGAAGTGAAGTTAATACATCTTGCCTAAACAAACTCATGTTTCTTAAGAAGGCAAAGCAACAATCCTACTTACAGCTTCTCTCACACAACAGCAGATCCTCCTAATTTATAATATGTGAGCACATCGTTCAGTCGCTGGAGCAGAAAGGACATTTACATTACTGTACCTGAAGCACCTAAACCAGAAGACTAATCTGTCACAGATGCAACCTCCCACAAGTTCACTGAAAGCAGAAGCTGCACTCAAAGTGCTTTAACCTACTGCATTGGTGGCAGGCTATCTTCTCACTGCTAACAGGATTTGGAAAAAACCTTCCTAATTTAATCACCTAAAGGTTCAGCTGTGAAAAGGTCATCTTTGGTATAAAAGCTGGTTTTAATACTTTCATACATGTGGGCTCTTGTTCCTGCCCCATATCAGCACCATCTCAAACAATAAGGCAGACAGCTCAATAAATCAAGTTCCTAAAATTAGCAGACTTTGTTCCTATATACTTTCCCAATGTTTTGTAGGTGGCTTTTTTTGTTTGGTTTTTGGGTGTTTTTCTCCCGTGTAAGCCTAGGTCAGTTTGCTTATCTAGCTCAGTCTTAGGCACAGAAATAATTACTCAGCGTGACTACAGGCCCTACAAGAACAGAAGCTATATGAAAGCAACTCTGCTGACATTGTCATAGTAAGGATAAGCTGTTGCTCTAACTTACAACAGCTGAAATTTTATACTCCCCATTCCCAGCTGTCACTTTACACTCACATATTCAGCATCCTGCATGACCGTTGGCGAATTCAGAGTAACCAAGAACAATTAGAACAGTTTTCACCCAGAAATGATCATTTTGACAGAGCTAGTTGCAGAGCAGCTTTGTCAGCATGGGAACACCCAGACACTATGGAGAAAAGGGAGAGTGCAATGCTCAGCCACAGGCACAGCAAAGTAAGGGACCACAGCACAGGATTCACACTGCCTGAATACGGGTATGTTTTTCCTTTTGGACAAGAGCAGATGAACAAGAAAAATCTCTTCTTATAGTTGAGAAGGGTGTTGAAGCTGGTGCCACAGCTGGTTTATCTCCCTATTGCAGCCATTTTCTTGGGTGCAAGAGAAAATCATTAGGTCAGCAGAAATGGCAGGACAAACCCCACAGCTCTTCTTTAGCTGTAGAATTGCCATGAACTAAGTGGTCAGAAACAAACAACAGGAATATTTGAGAAATCCTGATTTCCTGTTCCTCCAGAGATTAGTGTTAGCTGCTGCTACTGGACAGTCTGTTCCAGAGCAAAAGCCCAGTCAATCATGTTAATGGTTGCTGAGATTCTCTCTGGTCAGCTCCATCACTCTAGGATCTTATGCTAATAGGAGAATATGCAAGACTACTAAGCAGGTTTATAAATACAAAACATCAGCACTGGGGATCTCCCTAGGATGTCAAGCAGCATTAAGGTAACCTACAGAAAAACAGTGGCCACCGACTCTTCAGCTGGGAGGATGAATTCATCAGCAACACACGGAGAAATGTGCAGTGACAATGCATGCACAGCAGAGGAGCAGACCAGACTTAAAAGGCAAGTTATTTTCTAGCCACAAGCTGCTTAAGGAAGTGAAGTAAACAGAAAGCTATTTATAACTTCAAAAATATTTTGCCAGCAAGTTTTTGTACTGACATAGATGTCTCATCTCCAATTAAAAGGGCAGTACAGAACACTTACTTCCACTTATCTGTGAGGTGAAGTTGGGTGACAGATCCTGCTGTTCCATGGATTCCCTGTTGTCGGCGAATGCTTCTGGGTGGCTTTGCTGCACTGGTCACATAAGCCATCTTTACTTGCCGGCCTAATGCAGAAGCAAGGAGCAGAGGAAATGTGACTTCCCCCACTTTCTGTGTTCAAAACTCAGATAATAATATGATTGTGAGCCAATTTCTAAAAGTCTAACCAGCAAACTCAGGTTTGTCTACAACATGCTGTATCAATGCATGTATTCATTTGTGTGCAATTTATATTTATATATGAACAGCATCCTTACTTGATGCCTTCTCCTAGATATACAGCATCAGTGATTAGAGCAAACACGTCACTAAGCCCCACATAGTAAGTCTCAAGAACAGAAGAGACTGAGCTTTGAGAACTGAAAAGCTGTCCACAGATATTACCTTTTGGTTTCTCAGACTGAGCTGAAAGAATGTTTTTTGTAAGCATCTTCAGCTTTTCTTCTCTTTCATTGAAAAGTCTCAAGTACATTTCCCGCCAACACTCATATTCCAGGAGGCTCTCATTTTTAAAATCCCTCTGGCAGTGTTTCTTCCATAAGTGGTCAGACTCTTCTGTAAACGTCTTAGTTTGAACACAAGGTATTTTAAGTCAAGATTTTTAAAGCAACATTTCTAAGCGTACCTGCTTAGCTGAGACTGTAGACAGAGCCAGATCACCCGATGGAGTGCAGAACAAATCCCACCAGATGCGTACCTGCTGGTACCTCATCAGGGCATGACAGTGCCATAGAGAGATGCCACCTTCAGCTTAGACATCCTGTACCTCCAGCAGGGCTCTGTGCTTGGGTTAATGAGCTGTGCTTTCAGACTACATTTGTGTTTCCAGCACAGGTTCAGGCCATACCAGTTCTTAACTTCAGACATGCAGGGAAGTGATCAACTCGCACCACAAAGTGCTACACGCTTAGAACACCCAGTCCAAACACATCACGGAGCCAAAAGCTTAGCACTGTACATGAGAGATCTAGCACATGCAAATTGGGAAGTACCTGTGGTGATATTTCATATATGCTTTGCAATCTTTGCTAGTTTTAAACCTGAAAACACTTGGTCCTACTGTGCCTGCCAAATACTATTTCTTTGTTGTTCATTCCCCCCACCCTCCCCTCTTATTTTCAGAAAAATAAAAATACTTTTATTACCCACAATGACTTTCATTTAGACATCAGTAATAATTCTCTCAAATGCTTTAAATCCTAATAGTTGAGAAAGAAGTAAATATATCAGGCACAAGAAGAAAAAACAGTGTAAGCCATTGAAGAACCTCTATCAAAAGGGGTGCAGGGATGGCAGACAGATGCCCAATCTCCTCTGTGATTCCCTGAATTTAACAAGGCAGAATTTACCGGATTACATTCCTCTACTCGAAACAACTGCTCTGGTGTGCAACGTGTTAGCACAGGCTCGAGGATCTCAAAGGGAACACCTCCTACTTCATGCAGCACTACAACAGAGGACAGCACTTGGAATAGCTGGCATGTTTTACTCAGTGTGTAAAACCACTTACCAAGCAGTTTAAAAATAAAAATAGAACTGTAGCAAATATCAACAGAAGAACACAAGTTTTTAAGTCAGAGTATGAAATTACTTGATTTCAACTTGAGACCCAAACTGACTGGCAGCAATGTGAGGATGGAATAAGCATCCTGGAATAGTTGCTGCGCCATCTTTACTGATAGGCATCACTCCCCTCTCTGCATACGTAACAGAATGAATGACTTCTTGATCACTCGTTCTAGTTTACGTAAACAGACATTTTGAAGGGAAGTCAGGTATTGTGGGGTTTTGTTTTTTTTGCTTTATAGGACCTCATATTTTAACTAAAAATTGGATCTTTTTTTGAAGTTAAGCCTTCAAAACAAAGTTACATTTCAACATGATTACAAATCCAGTTTTGTAAGTGCCTTTTGGTCTGCTCTGTCATTGTCTGTAGGGAGGGACAATGTCTATCTTCTAGAAGGCCAGCCTAAGCACAGAGAAAGAAAATAAATAGATACTCATTCAGCACAGCCTGCTACAAAGCTCTTAAAATACTCACAATCAATATTATTTTGAAGCACACGGATGCACAGCTCATACAGTGTAAGCATCTTTGAAAGACAGACTGGTTTAGAGCCAGAGTAGACTTGCATCTTGGAGTTCAGTCTCCGTCCTGTGAATTGAACTATCTCACCGACTTGCTGGTGTGCTTCCACAACAGGCTCTAGGGGTGTCATCAAGAAAGCATCAGCCAGGGTTTCCTTTACCTTCAAGGCACATTACAAGGCTTTAACTATTCAGCTTTCAGTACACACTATTAGTGCACACAAATATTCATGTTTAAAAAAAAAATAATGTACCTGTGTTATAGTGCGGAGTCCTCATGACAACAACTAACATCTAACAGCAAAACAGCAACTATATTGAAAGTGTAATGCAAAGTGTAATTTGCGCTGCACAAACTCACATTAGGCTTACATTATTTAGCTCAGGTCTACGTGCATCAACTTTTGACTGGACTCGGCCTCCCCCTTCCAATCTGGATGCTCAGAATTACACAAGCTATATTGACATCTGAGTTGCTTCAAGTCACTAGTGCATCACATTCTATTGATCCTGGCAAGTCAGAAGGAGCAACAGCAATGATATTTCAAGACCACAGGGATGTGAAATCACTGAAACTTTACAGGAGCTGCGAGGGGTGCTTTGTGTCACCTACAAGCAAGGATGCAGCCAGCTCCTCTGCTGAAGACAGAACTAGTGTTTCCCTACAACAATTCCTACTAGGGCTATATCCCCATGATAAGGCATAGATAGACTGGAGCAAAGATAAATGGAGGCTGTAGAACGACTACCTGACCTACACCTCCTCTACCTCCATGGTAATCTTTTACAGCATTTTTTCATTTATAATGGCTTCCCTCTTACAGCTCTCTATCTCCCTTCAGATTCAAAACAAGTTTTGCAGAAAAGTAATTGAAAGAAAGGTGGTTCTTCACCACAGAAAGACGAGCTGATACAGCTTATTAGGAAAAGAGACGAAGACAACCCTAGACAGAGATGTAAAAATGTGTGCTGTTTCAGATTTCTCAGCACTGCATACCACTTACCTTTAAAGTCAGCAGCATATGGGGGAGAGGAGGTTAAGATGCCTGGCAGAAGTTTAGGCAGTGGAGTATTAAGAAGATCTTGGAGAGACGCCACCTTGGCCTGTGCACAGTCAAGAAAACATTGCTTTGTTGTTACAAATTTGGGCTTACTGAGGCTACAGAAACTACAGAAAAAGATTGAGACCAATAGTTACCTACAGTAACCGAAACTACTGCTTCTTTGCACTAAAATTTACTCACTGCATTGCTTTTCAGCATATTCTTCCATACTCTACCACCAGTACTGCATCACCGAAGGAACTTAGTGGGATATCTGCAGTCAGTGCGTAATCGGCAATTAAAGAAAGGAACAGATGTGCTCAGCTAACAGGCTTACAGATAAACTGCTACTGAGGTTACAGGCATGCAGTGAACGAGACAGAAGTGCAAGATGACAAAAACAGAGTTAGATGTTTAAAGGAAAGCTAAATGCCATGCTGGAGAAAAAAGTAAGAAACAGCTTTAGAGCTGGTTCTCCTAGCCTCCAATACTGTGCTTGAGAAGACACAGTCTGAAGTTCTCCTGGACATACCCCTTAAAAAGTGATTTAAAGGCTCACAAATCTGGTAAGTGCCTACACCAACATCCACCATTTTGGGCAATCCCTAAATCAGGTCTTGGGCATCTCCTGGTTGTAAGCCAGGCACTTAGAACCCAGAACCTGCATCTCCCCAAACTTTATTGCAGCTACCTTTAATAACTTTTCACAGTTATTAAAGCAATATAAAGCAACAAAACCAAGATTCCTTGCTCAACTTTCCCTCAATTCCCAAGCTTATGCTGGAGTATCATGCACAAACTTCTATATTAATGTTTCTCCATTGGCATATAAGATGTCACATTTGTACTGCAGATCCTTCACAAAATAAAGAACCCCCAGAGCTTTCACATCACAATCAAGATAAGAGATCCAAGAGACCTCTAATTCCCTCTGCACAAGCAGCTTCTTATAAAAGACTGAAGTCATGAAGCATGTTAACTTGGTTTACTTTAATGCATTAGAAGTCTGTTCCCATTGCAGATCTAACTAATAAAGAGCTGCAGCTTCTTACAGAACAGCTGTGTCATGCACAAACATCTGCTGCAACCATAAACTAAGCCAGTCAAGAATGAAGCTGTGGATAAAAAGCAGACTAGCAGATATTGATCAAAGACCACTGCCAGATAGGAAATAACTGAAAAATATGAGACAAATTGATTAAAACTGTCAGTATACAACAAATCTTTTCTGCCCAAATTATCCATAAATATTGGCCAATACAATGCAATTTATGTCAAGACCACACAATCTGTTCTTGAAATAAACAGAGCTGAATTTCACTGAAAGTAAGAGACCGGAACACTTATTTGTCTGCAGTTTGTCTGCTTTCATCTCAATTGCACAGAGGTTTACCTTTTTGCTGGGAGTTCCTGACTGATCATCTTCAGAGTTCTGTACTTTTCCTCCCCCCTCATTTGCATGAGAAAACGTTGAAGTCTTTTGTGGTAATGAGCTGCTCTTCTGTTCACTGCACTTCCCTGGACATTCACTTGTAGAACAAGCTTTCCTCTTTCTCTTTTTTGGAACCTGATCATAATTCAGGTAAGATTCAAAAGACATAGTAGGGGGCTCAAATTCTTCATCACCAGATAATTCGGCTTTGCTTCTCACAGCAAGTTTTTCTTTCAATTTCGTCACAATCTTAGGATCTCTCTGTTTGGAAGCATCCTTAGGCTTCTCCTTCTTTGGGAAGGAGTCTTCACCAGCTGTACAGGAACGGCGCTTTTCCGGAGCTCTCTTGTTGTCCTCGGAGGCTCTCTTTTTACAGTCACTTTCTTTAGCTTGAGAACTTGTCTCCTGGGAAGCATGCTTAGAACCACTGCCATGACCTGTTCTGTTATCACGGTCTTTTTGAGACTCAGAGTCTCTATTTTGGTGCTTTTTTTCAATACAGTTACGCTGCTTGTTCAACTTTCTAGATACGGACGAGCTATTGGAACTTTGGGAGGCTGGTACAGATGTTTTGGACTTCTCTGAAGGCTTTCCTTCCTTGGAAACTGAAGATTTTGTCTTATCTTTTTCAATATTCTGTTTTCTTTCTCTGTGACCACTGCAACACAGAAGGAATTATACCCCATGCTACTGCAGATGTTAAATCCTTGAAGAAACAGCCTTTTCATTTACTCTAGTAAAACAAAGGCATTAAATCACATCACATGGCATAATTCTTACAGGACTTGAAGTGTGAGTGCTGGCTGGCTAATGGATCAAAGCAGTCACTGGTTTGCTTTCTAGTTACTCTGTAAAAGTAACATTCATTTCTGTCATTCAGCTTATGGATTTGTCACAATGTATATTTGTCATTCCAAATACTTTTCTAAGATTTCCAAGTTCTATTGTATTAAATTACACTGCAGTATAATTAACCCTTCCAAAAAAAAAAAAAAAAAGAAAAGAAAAGAAAAGAAAGAAAAAGCAAGTTCACACCTACCTTTTGTTTTCTGGAGGAATGAGCTTTTTCCATTTCTTTACCAGGGATTTAGCTACATTTCCAGCAGTGGCATGTTTCCTCAAACTGTTAACTGTTTTGCCTATGCCAGTTTCCTGTTGGAGAAAAGTATAAGAAAGATGAGTGAAACCAATCACAGAGAGCATCCCAAGTAAAACCACCTCTAAAATTGTTACAAACCATATTAGCATGGAAGTCTGAGTAGTCTTATGGCAGCTAAATAGGCACACGTGTTGCACTACAAACAGAACTGAAAGCAGGGGATATAATTATAACCAAACATGGGGAACAGAAAACAGCCTTAGTTCATAAAGCCACTTTTCTCCATTAAATGTATGTATTTCAGAAGTTTCACTTGGTCTGAGCACTTACGCCCACAAAATGGATACTGCTAAAGTAAACTAATTTAATCAATTCAGGTTTTCTTTAGGCTTATATATGTACAGTGTAGCATATTAGAGAGCACATATGAGCACTACATTGTAATCTAAAAAAAATCTCAGTGAGGAGTATTATGAGGCAGAGGCGTCAGAGAAGCAGAGTTCTGAGTAAACTCAGTAACAGCCACAAAATAAACCCTTGATATTTAAGATCCATCATGTCCACTGTTCTGTAGTTCAATTATTTTCACATTATTGTTGAGGCTTCAAGTCTTGCTCTACTGAGTTCTATGTTGTCTGAGCAGAACTATCCTGCAAACTTTTTGAGTATATAGTCACCATGGGTGAATTTTTCAATCCTGTGCTCTCTCTGATTCACAAGCTCTCACTTTAAAGATGCATGCAAACTCTGGAATTTAAGTCAACAGCAATCTAGTACTGCTCTTGCTTACTAGTTAAGGGATGCTCCTGTAAGTTGTGAAGGGTGTTCATTTCTCTTCCACTGCTCAGGGAGCTAGCTGGGCATCGGTGGGGGTGCGGAGCAATTGCTTGTGCATTACTTGTTATATTTTATTTTTTATAGGATACAGCAATATAGCTTTTTATTTATATATACTCATAACTTTTATCCTTATCCTTTTCTCTGTTTCCATAAATTGTTTCATCTCAACCTACTAGTCCCATCCCACTGGGAAGAAGGGAAAGAAATGAGTGAACATCTGTGTGTGCTTAGCCACCTGCCAGGTCAAGCCACAGCACCATGCCAGTGCAGCATTTACATTCCTAGAAGAGCTTTAAAAAATACATGGGATCTTCGATTGTTTAATAACTCTCTTGAAGCCTTCCATCAGAGTCTGTCACACTGCAGCACGCAAGCATGCTGGAAACATCAATTGCCTATGGAAGCCCTTTGTCATTTTAAACAGCTAATTACAATTTACATGAAGATTACTTCATTTTCAAAATAAATACCATAATATTGCTGTATCCTAGCAGAAGCCATCTGACTTTAGGCAGGTAAATGCCTTTGCCTAAATAAGCTGGCCAAATAATTACCCTATTTTTCTCTTACTCTGCAAGGAGCTCTCTCACAACACATATTTTTCTACTTTCCAAAAGACAGACACATTGCCAAAGTAACCAGGAGCTTCCTAAGCCAGCGTGAGAATTTCCAGTGCAAAACCTGACAGGATGTAGCTTGGGTAAGGACACAAAGGAGAAATACCACTATAACTTGGGACACCTGCTCTTTAAATGCAAGATGATAACCCAGGCTGCTAGTTAGAGACATAGACAACTGACCTAATCAGTCATCCATAATTGCTTAATCTTAAGCACTGTTCTGAAAGCAACTGTAAAGCCAAAGGAAACCAGCCTTAAATGGCAAAGTTTTCTCTAGACGTTCAGATGTGCTCAGTACTAACACTGTTGTTTCAATGTTGCATGGTTTCTGGAGAAGGCTCCAGAGCTTGTTATACAGGGTTCTAAATGAAGAATGGCTAAGAGTCAGAATTACAAGATGTAACAATGCTCACTGCTTCTGGGACACCAGATCCCCGAATTCTGAACTCTTCCATAGTCATTCACTGTGTAAGGTTATTATTGGTCACTTACTGTTAGAATATCCAGTGATATATCCAAATCCTGTAGTAGCTCAAGTACTTTTAGAATCTGGAAGAAAATATTCAAATTTTATTATATTTAGACATATGACTGTAAATCCTATCCTGCTTTTCTCATCCCCTTGCCATGTTTAAACAATAAAGCTTGAGTAACATCCAGTAAATCCAGGAAAATGTGAGCTTGTATGCGTAGTATAGGAGTGCAATAAGAAATCTGTGCTGTGAACCAACGTTGCTCTGCTATACCCCAAACTGCAGTAACACCAGAAAATCCAATAAGTATGAACTTACCACCACAGAGATTACATTAGAGATCAATAACACAGCAGCACATGCTACGTGCACGGCCCACTCCTGTTATGTCAGTGACCCTGCTCTAGCACAGGGCTCATTCAAAGGCTGAAGAGAAGCCTATGGAGAAACAGCACCTTGCAGAAAGCAGGGAGCCTCCACTCTTCTTCAGCATTCAAGGCAAAGAGAAAACAAGCCCAAAGGCGCTCAGTGTGAAAAACAACAGGTTTTGAATCCTTAACTGCTGTTTGTACACTAATAAGATCAAATCAAGCTACAACAGCTGTTGTTTCACACCAGCAGAGCACGTATGTTTGATTAAATGCTGCTGTTGTGTGTTTGCTTTTTTTTTTTTTTATAAGTGGGAATGTATTTTTCAAATACATACTAAATGGCCCATTTTCTTTTGAGAGGTTTTTTTAAAAAAAGAAATACAGAAGTTCCATTTGTAAACAGAGTATGAATGTCTTTGACAATGGGTCAGCAGCACACCTGAGTCTTGTGTCTGACTACACACAATCTGCCTTATCCTTTACAAACACCTACAAAGCTGTGTTATGCAATGACAGAATTAATGTGTAACTGAAATTACAGGATGTTGTAGGGCTCCAGCACAGCCTGGAACACTTATCTGGGTTTTCAGATCATTACCACTTCTAAATGCAATGGCAGGAGCCTGCTGGAATGCAAAGATAATAATCCAAAAGCTTTTTGAACTTCAGTAATAGTAGCAATGGTTTAAGTAACAAATGCCAGAATAACTGCCATTTAGCATGCTAGATATTGCTTCTGAACAATAGCAGGAGGCAAAAGGTATTAAAAAAAAAAAGTGAGCAGCACTGTTTAAGAAAAACTTACAAACTACATTATGGGGTTGTTTTTTCTCTACAGAGATTCTCTGTTCATTGCAGGGGAGTTGGAATTGATGGCCTTCAGAGGTCCCTTCCAACTCTAAGGATTCTATGATAAATCTCACTATTCCTGTGGTATTCTGAAGTGGAGTATCACTGAACTTCACTGTGCAGAGGCTCTATCAGCATATCTGGCACGCAGTTCTTCCTCTCACACATCTGTGCTGCAGTACAGTTACTGAAATCTGAAGAACTTCAAGAGAAACGTAGCACATCCTAGCAAGAAATTAAAACCAGTTTTCCATCTCAGGAGAATGGCTCATCCTCCTCAGGATGTTACAAGCCTGATGGTTAGCTTTTCCTGGACTCTTCACAGATCCAGCCCACGAGCTGAAGACTTATCCTAAAAAACCCCCACCAGGAAAAAATATACGCTGCAAAAATGCGTACAAAGTTCAGTAAAAAAAAATAATAATAATTTGCTCACAATGCAAATCACAAGCATTCAAAACTAAGTTATCAGTGTCAATTTAGCTAATTTTAGTTCATTATTAAAATTATATTCATTCAATTTATTTTGCAATCAGAAGGAAGTAAGCCATTGCTGAGCAGGTACATTTCGCTCTGTAGGCGGACTAGATAATCAAGCAGTACAAATCACTGGGAATAAATCCCACAGAGACAATCCTACACACCACAATGCTAAAAGATGTTGTCATCAAGCTACAGAGACAATGGGGATTTGGAGTATTTTCTCTCGAGGGGTTAATTTATAGAGCTGAGTTCATTTCAGAAGAATCTCCAAAACAGATTCAGGAAGCAAGAAATTACTGCTCATACAACTTCAGAATAGGCTGTGTTATAGAAGTACCCAGATGACAAGCATGTCTGAAAACAGTCAGCACGTCTTAATGAAAGACAAAACTTCCAATGTTTTCTAAGACAAAGTGCACACTGCTCATTTTGATTTCCTGAGATGTAGATCACATTTGCAAACGTAAGACAAGACACAAGAGTTTCATTAAGAAGAAAACACAAAGCAATTACCAAATGCTAAAAATCCCTAGAAGAGAAGCACTCATCTCTTGCGAGCAGGGCACAGCTCGGCCTGCAGCAAGACCTGCAGCCACACACCTGAGGGACTGCTGAAGGAGAGAGCTCTGCCCACCTGTGTTCACAGTGTGAATGGACAGAAGCACGGCCTCACAGACAAATGGACAGCCAGCACACACATACTGTCTGAAACAGAAGTCCAGGTGCCAACAGAGCAAGCTGTCATGAAGGGGAGGAGGCATCTGGAAGCAGAGTGCAAAGGCAAGAAGCATGTAATCGGTTTTCCGGAGTGAAAACTGAAAGCAGAGCAGTGATAAGAACAGGGCCAGGTGCACCAGGCATGTCTGCTCCCAGCAGACCTCCTGCACGGAGCATCACCTCCCTTCTGGCTGAGCCAGACCTTCAGAAGGATGGGGCCTACCTACAGGTCCCCAGGCCACCAGTGGCCAAGGGACTGACTCCTTTCATTTCACCACAACAACTTCTACTTTTTTTTCCCCTCCCTCCTCTTCCTCACGCCTTCAAAGGATTCTTTAGCCTGTTCTTTTCACTAACAGAGACCATCACATTTCAGCAAGTTGTGAATCTACATCAAGACCACCTGAGAACACTGCCCAGAGATGCCTTTGGATGCTCCCTCTCTGGAGGCTTTCAAGGCCAGGTTGGATGGGGCTTTGAGCAACCTGGTCTAGAGGGAGCATCCCTGCCTATAGCACAGGGGTTGGAACTAGGTGATCTTAAAGGTCCCTTCCAACTCAAACCATTCTATGATTCTTTGATTAAAGACAAGAGGTTAGAAAACCCAGTGCATTCCCAAGTGAGGCACTTGTACGATATGCTCAGTTGCCTTCACTAAATAAACCTGTTTCCAAATAAATAAAAAGTATAGCTTTGCTTTCAACCATTGACTCTCATTATTTTTCTGCTAACAGAGCATAAGATTACCTTTTCCACAGTTTTAGGGCCAAACAGATTGAGTTCTTGAGCTTCAGAAGCTGTGCTGCCCATAACTACAGCCATTCTGTTGCCGTATTTTCAGCTTGACAGCTTTTTTTTTTTTTTTTTAAATAACAGCCCCCAGAGCAAGACAAAATATTCCTGTAATTGCCCCTACTATACAGCAGTAGTAACAACCCAAACTAACTAACAAATGCTAACTACCCAAAGATTGCATTTATTCCGTAAGCTTCTGCATTGTACTGCAATTTCATGCTCAAGCGGTAATACATCAGAGCTCCAAATCATCTTCTGAGTCAGTGCTTTCCAAAATACAGTCTCCTATCTGGAATGACCTATATTCATGGCTTCTAGCTGTGACTTTCCACTGAGCCATGTTATAACGCATGCTGCTCAAGTGAGCACAGACTTGCACATGATCAAGGCTGCTCACATTCTTCCTCATTTGATGCAAAGTTACTTTAGTACTTGTAACATTTTCCTGCAATGCTTGCTGTCTTCTAATTTAAGAAAGATTTGAGTAAGATCCAGTCAAGTAGAGATGCGTAATCACTTCCCCCCCAAAAAAAACATTTCTTTCTGATGAGGGTTGTCACTTATTTTTGCTGAGTGCAATTTCAGTCCATTTTATGTATTGCATCAGGTATGTAACACTGCTACAGTAACCAACATCGTAGCAGCAAGTCAAATTTTTAAGAGATTTTATGTGTATTTATGACAGGCAGTATCAGCTGAATACAAAATGAATTTTGTGGTACGCATCTACACAAAGTCTCACTGAGTGGCACTGATCATAGCACCAAGCTTTAATTCTACACCAGTTGCACCTCACAGGCAACATTTCACAGCTGCTCATTAAAATGCTTCACAGTCTTTAGTGGGACAGATGCTTTCATTTACTGATAGAAACAAGAGCACAGTTTTTGGTTTCTTTTTCCAGACCTGATGAACTTTTCTACTTTCTTAAGGATCATTCAATACCTTAATCACCAGTTTTGCTCATTTTTCGGTCAGTTCTTTCTCTCCAGAGTAACCATCAAACCTGACATACTGCAAAGCTTTTAAGATGAACAACTGATGTTCTGAATCTTCCCTGGTTCCTGCCATACCCAAGTATTTGGTAGTTAGTAAGAACAGTGACAAGATTAGACAAAGAAGCACGGGACAGAAATATTCAGCAACACCAACACCTACCTGCAATACAGATTTATTATTCTTTCTGCACTTATTTAAAACATTCCTCTTTACCTTTAAATATGCCACAAATGTTCTCTTATTAGACTTTTTATTAGTAGCACAGTTCATGCCTGCCAATTTGCAGTAATCAGTTTCTCCCTTCCATCCTCCTTACCCCTTGCTACCTACAGCTATTTCTATCTCACCAGACACAGCTCTACCAGGGACTGCAGAAGTGCTACAGCACCACCATTAGACCCAGCTGACACAGCACTTGATTTTAGCTCGTAAGAGGTAAAAACCAAGCATCTCCTCACTTACAGAGCCAAATCCACCTCACCAGGGCCAACCACATTTTTGTCTCTTAAGCTGTGTTTTGAAAGCCCTCAAGAAGTTACTTCTGGAATCATTTCTCTCTTCTCCCTTTCCATCTCCTGTTCAGAACAGTGTATCAACACTAAACATAAGTTTAGATACAAGGAAAAGATTCTTTTACAGTGAGGCTGGTGAGGCACTGGGACAGGTCACCTCATCTTGTGCCTAATGCGCCATTCCTGGAGACTTTCAAGGTGAGGCTGGATCAGGCCCTGAGCAACCAGATCTAGCTGCGGTGTCCCTGTTCATCACAGGAGAATAGATGGCCCTCAGAGGCACCTTTCAACTCTAGGGATTCTATCGATTATAAACAAATTGTGGAGAGTAAAATCTGATAATTTCAGTAGCACAAGAACTGCAGAGTGAAACACCTGAAGTACCTCCTGCACACAGGTATTTCATTTGGACAGAAAAAGCTTATAGAACCAGCATTAGGAAGACAAGCCATTACTGGCTAAGAAAAACAGTATTTTTCAACATGTATAAACACACAGTGCATTCGAACGTAGTAATGAAGATTTTTTAAGTTTATTACCCGCCAAGGACAATGCAAGATTAGGGTGCTCTTTGCCCCCGAGTACTTTCACAAACTTGCATCAACTTCCAACACCCTGCAAACCGACCAACCCACCATGGAAGCGTGCTTTTTATTTTCAGCCTTAGAATTCAGCCTTTCAAGAAGTTCTGCTTTGGCTGCTTATCTTTAAAGCCCCTTTGGAATACATTATCTTTTGTCAAACAACATTCACTAGGAACAGCCTGCCAGATTCCTGCATAGGGTGCACCCCATAGGGAGCATCTTCCCTCCTTCTCCCCTCAAAACCTGAGGAGGGCCCATCTTACATGGCCTTGAACCACTCTGAATGGGTGCCTTCTTAGTCCAAGCACTCCTTATCTTCTTCCTGCAGCTACAGAGCAGCCCTGCTTTCCCACAGGTAGCTTAATTCCTCCCAGGTAGGACAGCAGCCCTATTCTCCCCGTAGCAGGGACGTGAACGCAGGGTGTACCAGACCCCACACCGCGCACCATCAGCGCGCACCAGGAACGCCTCTCCCACTGCGAGAAGCCCTTAGGAGCACAGCGCTGAGCACCGCCGCAGCTCAGCTCCGGTTCTCCAGCCAGGGAGGACCTGGCAGCACCGCTGCCACACAGCGCGCTTCAGGCACGGCAGCGCTGCGCCCAGCTACTCGGCCTTTCTCCTCTCGCCCTCAGCCCTAACAGGCCCAGCAGCCTCGACTGAGCTACCTCCGCAGGCTCCTCCGCCCGGCTCAGACGCGACTTCAGCGCCCGCACGCTGCTCCGCACGGCGCTCCGCCCCTCCGCCATCGCCGCGGCACAGAGCCCCGCCCCTCCCCCGCTCGCCCCACTTGTAGCCCAAGGGCGGTGCCTCCCCGCCCCGGCCTCGCCCCCCTGTCCCGAGGCGGAGCCGCACTGCGCTCCCCGGCCCGCAGGGGGAGCGCCTGGCCGCTCCGATGCTGCCTCCGGGCTCCCTGCCCGCAGGATTCTCTGCCGGGCCCGGGGATTGCCTGGGGACGGGACGCGGTGGGATGGATTCTCCATGAGACCTCGCAGAGAGAGATCTCAGCACACTGGAAGGCTTGCAGCCACTCACCACATGCAGTTTAACACGAGTGAATGCTGGATTCTGTGCCTGGGGCAGAGCACGTACAGAGCACACACTCATACAGACTGGGAGCAGAGAGGCTGGAGAGCAGCCCCATGGAAAGGGATCCGGGGTTCTGGTTGATGACAAGTTGGACAAAACCAGCAGTGTGCCCTGGCTGCCCAAAGGGCCAACGCACCCTGCGGTGCCCCAGGCCCAGCACTGCCTCTGGGAGAGGGGAGGGGTTGTCCTGCTCTGCTCTGTGCTCTGCGGCCTCGCTGTCTTATCGTCATGATCTAAATATGGGCTTTGGAGATGCATAATGTTTGGCTGACTATACACAAAGGGTTCCGAGCCAACAAACCAATCAGGGTCTAAAGCTGAGCCATAATTTTGCTAACATTTTTAGTGGAACAGGGCAGATCTCCACATAGCCGTGGCTGCGATGCTAGCATTCCGCCAGCAAATCAGAACATGCTAACTTTAAAGAGAAGGCTTTACAGTTACCAGAAAGCGTGCAGCAATGGTGCTGCATGGATTAGAAAAGATTGCCTAGAAGCTTCTTCCCTATTGCCAGTTCTGGTTCATGTCTGTGCAGATAACAGCAGTTATTCCGGTGTACTGTTCTACGAGCAAATCTCTTGAAATTTTTGTGTTTTTTTTCCCCTAAAGAATGTTAAAACTTTAATACAGGACCTGCTGCATGGATTGATAGCATTGCCCTTATCCATTCACACCTGATTATGGAGAAAATTAAGTATTTTTTCCCCCAACATTCACTCATAGCTAGAAGGATATATCTTTACAAACTTAACATTACTGCCAAAATGTACCTTCCTGTCTCTTAAAAGGCCGTGATTCATAACTGGGTTGCTAGGATTTACATTTCCTGTGAAGCATTATCAAAATATTTGTGTAGTGATTAATTTCTATCCCATTGGAAAGGAAATAATCCGAAAGACAAGAGATTATCAAGGCAGTAATGTGAAGAATATTTGAAAATTAAAAAAAAAAAATCTTAAAGTTTGAATTTTAAAGATGCATCACAAGCCGCAGTGAATCGCGGTGCTATTTGCTTTTGAAGAGACTTTGCTGTGTGCAAATGAATGGAAAATGAGAATGACAGTTCCAAGATGAGCTTGGATGCTACATAATAGCCTCTGGCCTGGAGGCTGAGTGAGGAAGGGTTTCATGGTTTTGCCCTGAGGTACAACCAAAGTTTCAGAACTATGGAAATTGTTTGACTGTGTCAGCATTAATGTACATAAATGCTGAGGCCTGCCCCCCCATGATGGTTATCTCTGTCCTGCACAGCACAGCTCAAAGCTTGTTCAGCCTTTTCTGAAAATAAGAAATTAGTTTTGTATTGTATTCCTCACTGTAGTTTGTGTGATATTTCTATTGCAGCAAATCATGGAGGGATATTGGAAATGTATTTTAAAGACTGAATAAGAGTTGAATTTATTTTACAATTTCCAGATATGTTTTTCAGAGCTGGTATTAAAATTAGAATGATATATTCTTTCTACAGAACATGACAGAGTATTCTTCCTGGAGAATAAATGTCCTTGTTATCAAATAAGCTCACCGAAAAATGTCAGATAAGAAATTCTTTCTCTGAAAAATGTTGGCTTTTCAGAACTTCCTCAATTATAAAAATCGATGGAAGTCTGAGTGCGAGCTGTTAGAGCTGGTCTGACAGCATCCAACTCCTGCCTCTGTTTTTTGTCTTATAACTTGGTAACCACGCCAACACAGAGATGTCCTGTTGTGTAAAAGTGCTATTTTGCAGCAGTTGCTGTAAAAGCCCATCTGAGTCAGAGGCTAATCTAACAAATCTACCAGATGAAGTATTACATGAAGTCCAGCCAAAAGAAAGTCTTCTCTTTCTGTGACTTCTACACCCCTGATGCCTCTCCCTTCCCATGCAGTCACTTCTACCTTTTCTATCTCTTCCTCTCTCTTCATCTCCCGTGGGATGGAATTCCTCTGGGATGTAGAGACCTGGCTTTAAACTAGCCAAAGGTGAAGGTAAAATATTACAGTGTATTTTCCAACCCACAAATAGGGTTCATATGGGTTCAAAGGATTCAAAGTTCAAACCTCTGTGCAAATGTATCAGGAGATGTGAGCCAGCATCCTTGAAAGCCAAGGCAAGCTTTTATGGGAGCAGTGACCTCACTGATAAATAGGACATGACTGTGAATCCCCCCATCGGTCCATTTCCTTCCCTTTGCCCAGAGGTAAGCAGCTCAGTGCAACAAAACGTGGAACTGAAGTGCCAGCTTCTTTGTGGTGTTTCCCACTGGTTATTTTAGGTGCGTGTTTCACAGAGCACATTGGCTTTTGCACACCCCACCCTCAGATGTCACCATCGCCAAGCAGTGCTCAGGGAACCCAGGCACCCAAAGCAGGGTAATCTGATGGTCACCCTACGCTTACCTGGCACAAGCATTACCTGCTGTGAATATGCCATCTTACCTTCCCCTCCTGCCTTGAGCCTGTCAGTTGTCCGCGTTTGCCCCCCTGGTTTCTGAAGGCTGGGCAGACTGGGGAAACTTAATGCCTGTGTCTGGGCAGAGGCAGGGAGCGAGGCACCGAGAGGAGGGGTCATTTTAAAGAGCACTCGAGCTCAGGCTGCGGTCTCTTTTGCTCACTGTGACAGCAAAGGGTCACAGTAGAAACCACAAGCTGGGACTTACCAGGTGGCCTCTGATCTTCCTCTCTTCTTTTTACCACCTTTCCTCTCTTTTGTCTTCTCATTTTTCCTAGGAAGAGTCAATTTCATTGGCAGCGTCTTGGACAGCTCTGAGACAACATATTTCTGAGGAGGGTAAGGGGTTTTTAACTCCTCACATTGATAGCGTTTAGAAGATAGCATATTAAAGGGGGGAAGGTCGTGTGTTTGAGTGTGTTGTTTGGGGACCGTCAGCGTCCTTTGGCATGAGTTGTTGTTAATCTAAAGTAAATCAGGTGAAGGCAAACAGCTATAGGAAAGAAAATTATCCAGGGCTTTCAAAGCTCAGCAACACAGAGTTGTAACAGGATTGTTTGATTTGATTTACTGGTTCTGAATTTCCTGTTGCTTGTGCGTTTATGCACTGAACTAGCTAGTGCAATTTCTGCTGATGGAAAAGTAATTTTCAGGAAAAAACTTCAGAGAGTGGACCTTTTTTAATAAATTAAACATGTGCTTTGAATATTTAAATAAGCTCTACAAGGAATACAATATTTAAATAAGCTCTACAAGTGAAGCAGTGAGCATTAAGTGATGTATTTGTTGAAATGTTTAAGTTATAGGCCTCTAAAAATATGTAGAACTACAAGTCTGTCTGCCAAAATAATACATTGCCTTGCCAGCAATAAATTTGTGGCTATTAATATGTCCAAAGACACCCAATGGTTCTGTTTTGCTTTTACTCTATGTCAACAATTATACATTGCAGGGCAGACAGCATAGTTTTATTGCAAAAAGTTGCATTCAACAACCAAGTAGACTAAAGCACCAGATGCACCTCCGATTGAACCTGTCTTAAAATGGCAAGCTGCTGGGAGGTTGCTATTCCTGGAGGTGACTCTGATAGCTCTCAACAGATGCAGCTCCTGGAATGCAGCCGGAGGGGGGGAGGCGGGGAGCAGCTGACCCCAGTGCTGGCACCCAGACATTTGGGGACTGCAGCTGACGTCAGCATGCGCTGACACTGACACTTCCAGCACACATGGCCTTCTCCCTCTCCCGCTCTGCACGCAGTCGTCACCCAGCAGAAGAAGAAAAAAATTCCTGGTACTCACAGGCAGCAACCATTCCTTTCTAAAATTAAATTACCATTTCTTTATGCGCTGTGCACTTAAGGGAAAATCATTGTGCTGAGAGTTCAGATTGAAATGTGTTCAAACTGTTTCTTTAAGTTGATTTGAAAAAAATCCGGAATGTTTTATCATGAATTAGTGTTTCTTTGTGTTCTGTCTGCTACGAGCACAAAGGTCACAAAGAAAATCAGCTTAAGCGAGTTGTTTTAAAATCAATGGCTGTACCAAAGATAAATGTTATACCTGCATGTATTGGAACGCTGATCTCAGCAATTCTGTTTTAACTCTGTTACTGAAGATCAGCACTTTCTTTCACTATTTGCATACATAGATATATATTTAGATAGCTCCTTTGAGAACTGCTTGAGAGCCACGTCGCTTTGTGTTTGACAAAACCCAGGCTCTTCATTTCAGCAAGACTTGGAACTTGTCCAGAGTTGATAAGTGTAATTAAAATTCAAAATACGTATGACTTTTTTCAGACAAAAGTTAGACAGCATATCTTCTCCCTCAGTCTCCTGAAAATCCTAAAAATAACATTACAACCATTTCAAATTACAGACAACAAGAAGCAGAGAGAGGGTCTGTGAGTAGAAGATATTTGCAAATTGAACATGGGAAATAGAATATCATCAGTCTCATAAAAAGTTGAAGCAATTTGGAACAGATTTTAAATCTAAAATCAACATAAGATCATAGCTAGAATTCACTTTCTTATCTTTTATGTTACTATCTCCTTAAGAATTTTCCCCACTCTTAGTGTTACCTGGTTACACTCTGAATTCACTTACCTGTAAATCTGTATAAGTCCTGGAGTGAGGATATTTTTCTTACACTTCAGATCTAGAACCGAGCTCATGTCAGAACTGTACACTCTGACATACTCATTTAATGTTTATTAGGAAGAGAATTTAAC